TAATTTTTACCATAGCAAATGTTCATTAAAGTGTTTCCCATCTTTTTGATGCAGTGCAGTTAAGTAAAAAAATTGGAAACGTATATCATAATGGTTTGTTGTAAGGTTGCCATTAATATCTTTTTATAGTAAATTATCCAAATGGGAAACAGATGTGTCATTCCTATAATTTTCTTAGCTTTTAATTATATTTACTCAATGATTCTAGCAGCACTCACCAATTGTTATAGAATTGGGGCTTTCGAGCTGAAGAAACGTTATACATTTATTGACTGTGTTCTCGGGCAACATGCGTTTTGTCGGACACAAGAACCAAACTGTTTGCCTGAGGCCGTTAGGCCTCAGGCAAGCAGTTTGGCTCGAGGGGTCGACAAAACGCATTTTGCCCGAAAACACAGTCAATAAATGTTTTGTTACACCTTTTTCTTTTAATTTTGATATAACATGATGTAAATTTTGTTTACCCGCATTGCGGTTTAAACTTGGTCAATTCCGTAAGGTTCGGACATCAACGAATTCAAATAAGATACAGCTGACCCCACCCACACTGTGACGTGAGCTGTCCAACATCTCATCGACAGGTTCAATATCTCGCATCGATTTTTTATGACCAGTCAGTAAAACAATTGAAATGTTAGACTTTTTTAGTTTAGAATTATACAGGAAACAATTTTTAAAGTACATGTATAACAAAAGGTTTTATTGTTGTTTTATTGCATTTTTGTTGTCATGAATGACAGCGGAAAGACCGACCGGGATTAGTGAACAACAGATTATCTGCATTAAGGTATTATATTGATGCAAATAAAGCAACATAAGGTTAAGAAACTGTATTTCCTTATAAATTTGAACCCCCCCCCCCCACCACCACCACCACCACCCACCACCACCAGTGAAGTTAATTCAATAACAATATTTTCTCACTTCTCTCTCGGAAATATTCTTATATTTATATCGATATAACTCTATATTTATTTTTACATATCGACATTGCTATATTGATATGATCAAATATCTTTCTTTGATCAATATCTTAAAATCAATATTTTTTAAAGTCGATAATACTTATAGAAATAAAATTAAATAAATAAAAGAAGGTGCCTTAAATTATGTAAAAACATCTAAATACAAATCAAAATATGTGCATAAATAAGTAGTTATAAAACTTGATATGTTAATAAGGTAAAAAAAATATATGACAATATGCAAGTTATAACGCAACAAGTGTAGAGACTTTTACGCTTCCATACGTACCCCTCCCCACCCACAACAACCACCCGAAAATAAAATTCTGAGGAGTCCGAGAGAATGGAAAATTTCAACTTAAAAACGTCAAAATGTCTTCATGATAATTTTGTTTGTTTGTTCTTTTTTATGTATTTACGTATTTATGTACTATTTATGTATATATGTTTTTTTTTAATTGTTTTTTTTTTATATCTACACTTAAAGCTGAATCAAATATATCAACGAAAAATAGTGTCGGGGTGCGTCTTTTGGCGCTACGGTATGTGCTTAATATGACCATTCTGAATAACAACCGCAATTTGCACACATTTGACCTAGATAAGGTACAATGGATACTGGTTTTAAAACGAAAGTAAAATTTCAAGGAAAAAAGAAAATCGTTGTAAAATTGCATATGTCGGCAAGGTATGTAACATATTTATTAATTTCTTTGAAAAACAAATGATTTTTTCACGCAACAAACGCCAGGCATATTTACCCCCGGATGTCACAATGTCTGTACTGTAACAAGGATACTTCGAGTGATAGTTAATTTTAATTGAGTTAGAATGAAGCTCACCACTTTAAAACATAGAGCCTGTGACAGTATTATGAAACATATTTAACATTATTTATATACAATTGTTGTGGAAGTTGTTCATTATAAACAAACAGAAAAGGCCTCTTGGATAAAGGTTAAGAAGTGAACCTAAAACATTTTGACAAAAACAGATTCTCAATTATATTTTACACTATAATAATTAGGTCGGAAAAATGTTAGTTTACTTTTTAATAGATATCAGTACAGGTACATGTATTACTTCAAATAGTTGAAGATCAAGAAAACGCAAACTGAAATTATTGAGAGATAGTATTTCGACTTAGGATCTGACAATCTGCCAAAAATAATGTAACGTTTATACATAAAACCTCGTCATACAATACGATCAAGTCTATATCCTGTAAAATTATATTTACCCAGTTTTCTAAATATGAAATGCAATGATCTGTTTAGATTTAAGACCAACAAAATATCTGTTGTTTGAAGAATTGTACAAGGTATAAAATGTAACGTGTCTTTCATTTACATTCTGCACACCCCGACAACAATTTCTATAAATGTGACTTTTATATAACTTGTTTCATTTGAACGACCATGCATGACCAAATATCTCCGACCTTGAAATATTTTAGAGCATAAGTGATATATCATTTCTCTGTGCGTACTTAATTATTCAAAAAGCGATCGTAATATGAGTACCTTCATTAATGTATTTTTAACGAGTTGAATTAATGCGAAGCTCATCCACTCACGTTACAAAAGTTAAATTTAGCTATAGCAATGCAGCATAGTTAAGTAATTGTGCATTCTATAATAAAAGTACCATTCTTTGCATAAATATTGAGATCTTTTTTTTCAAGAATTCAGAATATTAAGCCATCGCAAAATCAAGCTCTGGCATATTGTCAGCCATGGTATATCCACAAGATGCTGCTCTTGCTGGTCGATATTTAAAAAAAAAAAAAAAAAAAAAAAAAAAAAAAAAAAAAAAAATCTTTTACAGGTCCTAACTACATGTATCATGATTTATGAAAAGAAGATGGGTGAACAAGGCGTGCAGAATGCCTATAGCTTCAGATACTAAAAAATCATTTTCAATTTGTGAATTAAGTATTTGAAGTAAAGTTCTCGTTATTGAAATTTAGGAAATTATGATCAAAAAAACTTTTCGGAGAAAAAAAGATCTCGGAAAAAATTATTCTTTTATTAAAAAAATAAAATGGTATTCGTAGGATTCGAACCCATAACAATAAAAGTCCGAAGTATCATATTGCTTTGAGACTAACACGCTAATCACTACGCTACACAGCTCCTGATGAATAGTGGCATTTAAATCATGTTTGTGATATGACCCTTGACTTAATGGACTTCAAGTTTTTCTCGGAAAGATGCGAATGCTTTGTCATAAAAGTGTACTTTTAAGGTATAGTGGGTCTTTGTTCCATATTTTTGTAAACGAAAAAATGCATATTTTTATGCAAACTTTTTGGATTAACTTTCAAAAAAATGGAGCGAAGACCCACTCATATCGAAAAAAATTGTTAACGTGTGAGAAAATGATCCTTTTTGTCCTCTTAAGTGTGTGTGTGCTATTTCGTAGGCAAATAATTTCAGTCTTTGTGAGATTTTTGTAAATTGTAGAGATTTTACATAAAGTATACTTTAACGTTAGATGAAATATCAAAGAAAATTTTGATATAATTGAGATTTTATTTTTCACTTCATGTTTGTCGCACTATAGGCACTTCGCCCGCCTTGTTCACCCATCTTCTTTAAAGATAACGAACCGTGATAGATATCATAAAAACTACAAACAATACCAATCTGTGAACAGGGCATAAACACGGACCACTGGAAATCCCAGAGGTGGGATCAGGTGCCTAGGAGGAGTAAGCATCCACTGCTGACCGGTCACACCCGCCGTGTGCCCTATGTATTGATCGAGTAGGCGGAACATTCCGTAGTCAAATTTAGTACAAAAACAAAGGCCTAACAATATATTTGCTAATAAGGTCATTATAACGAATAAAGAATTTACGAAATGCTGACTTTAACCGAGGTTGTTGAAATCATTGTAACATCAATTTTTGTGTGTTTGTTTGTTTGTTTGTTGTTAAACGTCCCTCTCGAAAATTTTTCACTCATATGGAGACGCCACCACTTGCCGGTGGAGAGGTGCAAATATTGTCATATACACTGCACTTAGCAGTGAGGCATCTTTTTCGTGCCAGCACCTAATGCGACACGGGATCTCGGTTTATACGGTCTCATCCGAAGGACCGGTCTCCACGTCTCACAGTGGGATTCAAACCCTCGACGTAAGGATCAACTCCTTACTCCGCGACTCTAGAGCAGACGCTCTAACCATTGCGCAACGCAGGCGACAATTTTTATGTGAATAGTGTGCCTGGGTTTAAAAATTGATCGTACTCAGATGCTCTGAATAGCTAATAAGTTGTGAGACATAAACTCCATATAGAGGTGATAGCAGAGTATTATTACATAAATAAGAAAAGTTGACATGGAAAAGCTGAAGACCTCTTGTTTGCCATACAATTTAGTTATTTGGCCTTTGTCGTCAGTAGTCAGTAAAACTTCCAAATATGAAACAGATGTGACAGACTCTGTGGTGTCTTCTGATATTCCAAGATGTCGAATTAAGACTGCCGTAAGTGACTTCTTTTCATGTTATTTTTAGAATAAATTCTGCTTTTAAGAGTACCAAAAAATGCTTATAATGGATCATAATTAGGACCCTATTGCAATTTCAACAGATTGTTGGAAAGTCTGGTTTCCAAAGACTACTTCGATATTGTCAATGAGGAACTCAAGCATACTTTTTAATATCATCTTCAAGGTACTTGTGTGAAAAATCAAAAAGTTTTTAAAAGAAAGTTTCAGTGAAAAGATATGAGCTGTCTGTAGTGTAAAATAGCTTGGCCTTGAACTTATCTTGGGAAAAGAGCTGTTGTATATAACGTGTTAAAGAGTCCTACATTTTGAAGCTGTGTCTTTTTTGGTAAAAAAAATATTTCTAAAAGTTCTTTGGATTTTATAAGCATTCATGTTTGATTTAGAAAACTTCTCAACTATGTCGTTTCACAGTACTGCTGAAGTTTCCCATCTAATGCTGTTATCATTTTAGGCAGGAGTAAAAAGAAGATGCTTGGTAGAAAATGTGTTAAATCTCGCTATGTGTCTTTGGTTGCAAGGATTCTTATAAAGTTTTGGAATCAAGTTTAGGTATGAAAATTCAAAATCTATGTGGTTGTTAGAAATTTGGAAAAAAAATTCTAAAATGCCAATCTCTTACTTAGAATGTGTTCTACTAGTATAAGTTGGGATTACCACTTGTAGACTTAGGTGGTCCGACCACCAGGTTCTAAATATTAGCAAAACTTTATGTAATAGAAAATGCTCACAAAGTAATGTTTCTGAATTCACAAAGTAATGTGTATTTATTTTTGGTATTTCTTCAAAGTTCAATTTTATTATAATTCTAATTAATCATGTTATACAATGAATCTATCAGATTTCAAACATATTTTTGGGAACGCAAATAAAAGCACCAGCTACGCATTTTCAAATTGAAAATTCATTAACAGGTATCTTTAGGATTTTTTAAAAAAACTATAGCTATCCAGGAATTAAGAGATTTTTTAAAATACTTCTACGGTATTTCAGTTCTTCTATGCACTTCAACTGTTATATGATACATAGTGTGAAATAAATAATAAGAGTTATCTTCTTAAATCCAAATTCTTCAAAATGCAATTGTAATAATGAGACATACAGAAAAAGGCTATGTTGTTATTTGCTTTGTTAGCTGGGAGCAGTACAATGATCATGTAGCCATACAAATGCCTTAGTCAATCCAGAATTACTGAAGACAGAAGGATATGTAAATCTCCTTTTGCTTCTTAATCGATTTACACAATATTTCAACATCCATTTTATATTTTTTAATCCATTCTGACAAATCGTTAAGCTCTTTTCTCCTTCATATTGAACCCATCCTCTGGTATAATCTTCAACAGAATTCCTATTTAAATTCAGTTTCCAATTAATAAAAAGATCAGGGTTCCCTAAATTTAGGCCATTTCAAAAGAATGATTTACGTTCCCCATTTTTAGGTCACCTGAGTCACTCAGGTGACCTATTGCTATCCGTTCTCGTCCGTCGGCGTGCGTCGTGCGTCGTGCGGTGTGCGTCGTGTGTTAACATTTGAACATTTTTAGCTTCTTCTCTGAAACGGCTTAACCAATTTCAACCAAATTTGGCATATAGCACCTATGGGTAAAGGGGAACAAAAATTGTGAATTCCATGGTCCCTGCCCCCCTGGGGCCTGAGGGGTGGGGCTAAAACCACCAAAAATAATGCAATCTTTAAAAATCTTCTTCTTTACTCCTGGACATCAAGCAGTCAAACTGTTGGCATCATTGTAATAAGCATTGAGTCCTCTACCAAAATTGTGAAATTCATGGCCCCAGGGTCAGGGGTTCTGGTGCTAGGGTGGGGCTATATAGATCATATAGGGAAAGTGCATTATTTCTTTGAAAATCTTCTTCTCTGCTCCTGGGTATTAAATAAATTTACTAAGTAAATAGTTATGATGAGCAAGAGTGCCTCTTTCAAAATTGTGAATTTCATGGCCCCTGGGTCAGGGGTTCTGGTGTTAGGGCAGGGCTCTATTGAGTATATAGTGAAAATGTATTAATTCTTTGAAAATCTTCTTCTCTGCTCCTGGGTATTAAATAAAGTAACTTAGTACATATTTATGATGAGCAAGAGTGCCTCTTCCAAAATTGTGAATTTCATGGCCCCAGGGTCAGGGGTTCTGGTGTTAGGGCAGGGCTTTATTGATTATATACATTAGTTAAAATGCATTAATTCTTTGAAAATCTTCTTATCTGCTCCTGGGTATTAAATGAACTAATTTAGTTCATAGTTATGATGAGCAAGAGTGCCTCTTCCAAAATTGTGAATTTCATGGCCCCAGGGTCAGGGGTTCTGGTGTGAGGGCGGGTCTCTATTGATTATATTGTTAAAATGCATTAATTCTTTGAAAATCTTCTTATCTGCTCCTGGTTATTAAATGAACTAATTTAGTACTTAGTTATGATGAGCAAGAGTGCCTCTTCCAAAATTGTGAATTTCATGGCCCCAGGGTCAGGGGTTCTGGTGTTAGGGCGGGGCTCTATTGATTATATAGTGAAGATGCATTAATTCTTTGAAAATCTTCTTATCTGCTCCTGGATATTAAATGAACTAAGTTAGTACATATTTATGATGAGCAAGAGTGCCTCTTCTGAAATTATGAATTTCATGGCCCCAGGGTCAGGGATTCTGGTGTTAGGGTGGGGCTCTATTGATTATATAGTGAAAAGGCATTAATTCTTTGAAAATCTTCTCCTCTGCTCCTGGGTATTAGATAAACTAACTTAGTATATAGTTATGATGAGCTAGAGTGCCTCTTTCAAAATTTTGAATTTCATGGCCCCAGGATCAGGGGTTCTGGTGTTAGGGCAGGGCTCTATTGATTATATAGTAGAATTGCAATAATTTTCTCTGCTCCTGGGTATTAAGAACATAGTTATGAAGAACAAGAGTGCCTCTTTCAAAATTGTGAATTTCATGGCCCCAGGGTCAGAGGTTCTGGTGTTAGGGTGGGGCTCTATTGATTATATTGTTAAAATGCATTAATTCTTTGAAAATCTTCTCTGCTCCTGGGCATTAAATAATGTAACTTAGTACATAGTTATGATGAGCAAGAGTGCCTCTTCCAAAATTTTGAATTTCATGGCCCTTGGGTCAGGGGTTCTGGTGTTAGGGCAGAGCTCTATTGATTATATAGTAGAATTGCATTAATTCTTTGAAAATCTTTTTCTCTGCTCCTGGGTATTAAATAAACTAACTAAGAACATAGTTATGGTGAGCATGACTGCCTTTTCAGAAATTGTTTCATGGCCCTTGGGTCAGGGGTTCTGGTGTTAGGGATGGGCTCCATTGATTATATAGTAAAATTGCATTAATTCTTTGAAAATCTTCTCTGCTCCTGGATATTAAATAAACTAAGTACATAGTTATGATGAGCATGGCTGCCTCAGAAATTATGAATTTAATGGCCTCTGGGTAAGGGATTCTGGTGTTAGGGCGGGGCTTTATTGATTAGATAGGGAATTGGCATGAATTCTTTCAAAATCTTGTGTGCGCCTGGGTATTTTTCAAACAAAGGAAGTGCATGGTTATGATAAGGAAGAATGCCTCATGGCCTTTGGGTCAGGGGTTCTGGTGAGGGGGAAAGAGCTCTATTGATTATATATAGTGAAAATGCATAATTTCTTTCAAAATATTTTTTCTACTACTGGTTATAAAGTAAAGAAACAAGTGTATAGTTATAATGAGAAAGGGTGCTTCTTCCAGAATTGTGAGTTCGTGGCCAATGGGTCAGATGTTCTGGGTAAGGATGGGGCTTTATTTATTTAATTTTATGGTGAAAATGCATTTCTTTGAAAATCATCTATGCTTCTGGGGATGTTCAAGGCAAACAGAGTAAAAGTTTTAATATGCAAGGGTATTTTTACCAGATTTTTGAACACCCGGACCATTTAGTCAAGTGTTCTAGTCCTGGCCAGGGCTCTATTAACTTGTATTCTGCTGAGCAAAGTTATTCCCCTTTGCCATTCACCTTTGATAATTAATCAATGTAAATAATGTATTTGAAAGCTTAATAGAATAAGAGAATTATGCAAGATAATTTATTGTATAATGAAAATGTACTTTCATAGATTTAATGACTTGGAAAGTCAGATAGGCAGATAGATACTAGACCAATTATTTTGTTGATGCTAATCATACTATTTTTCTTGCTTTTGGGCAACAAAGCTTCATTTTTCAGTTTATGGATCCTCTAAATTGTTGTATTGTACTCAGGTGACCGTTAAGGCCCTTGGGCCTCTTGTTATTATTACAACATCATCAGTAAAGACATGTCCAACAAGACTAAATGTTTAAAGTATTCTCCTGTAGACAAGTAACGACACTTGAATAAGCTGAGGATAGAAGATTATGCTAGCGTCGAAAGGAAGTAAATATGTATATCATGACATGTTTCCTGTAAAAGTTATCTTAAAACTGCAACAGGCGCTGAACTTCTATCAAAATAAAAAGTGCTTCAACATGTAATTCTTTCCTCTGCATGTGCATTTTGAAATTGAAAATGTAAGCTGGCCTGTGTTTTGATTCGGTTACTTTATTTATTATCTCTACCTCGCTCTTTATGCGAGTCAACTGTCATTAATGTAAGCATTATTTATGCATGGGCTTTCTATTATAACAATTCAGTTAAAAGATTTTTGATACTTAAAACTTGATATATCATTGTAATTAGTATTCAATTGTAGATAACATGGCCGATTTAGACCCAGAGTCAATTCTTCAGAGAAAAGATCGTGAGCAGCTGTCATGTTGGATCGGGAAATCATGTCAGTTTCAGTTATTGTACAGAGTGAGTCGGGACGGTTTATCAGCTAGAACATTTCACAATTTATGTGATAATAAAGGACCTACGGTAACTGTTCTTCATAACTCAACAGGAAATGTGTTTGGTGGATATCTCTCAGAGAGTTGGAACTCAAACAACTCATCGATTACGGATAGGAACGCGTTTCTCTTCCAGCTTCAAAATCAAAATAGTAGCTGTGCGTACAAATTTAACATCAAAACACCAACATGCGCTGCTTATGGTGTACAATCATGGGGACCAACATTCGGAGGACAAATTTATAATCAAAGGAATAGTTATGCACTGCAAATGGCCGGTAATCCTTTGCTTCAGGCACGAAATTGCGATTTGCATTTGTTCTCTGATACTGACAATGTTTCCCTGGCAGCGCATCGAAGAGAGATAAAATATCAAAGACGAAAACAAAGATATTCTAATGAAGTTCTGTTTGAAGAAAGTCAAAAAAAAAATCAGCAGATGTTCAATTTGAATGGACATGAGAATCCAGGAAATAGCTATCATTTTCATGGCCAACACAGTACACAGGGAGATTACTCGGTTGAAGCAATAGACTATGATTCATTATCCAATGGCAATTTCCAAGTTAAAGATCTTGAAGTTTACTGGATAAAGGGTAAGTATTAGATTAACACAGATTACTCTATATATATATATATATATATATATATATATATATATATATATATATATATATATATATATATATATATATATATATATATATATATATATATATATATATATATATATATATATACCATTTTTGTAATTTCCCCTTTGTTTTTATGTTTTTATTATTATTTATTTATTTATTTATTTTTGGTTTTTTCATTTAAAAACAATATAGCAATATAACAGGTAGATATTGAAATGTTTTTTTATACTCTGAAGGAATGTTGTACAGTTCTTATAGATACAAACAGAAACAGATTCTGATAACAGATTAATTTAAATTGATAAATTTACTGTTGATTGCAGAACATGAAAATCCTTCATCAAAAGCATTAGCGAGTGGTCAACCATGGAGAGAGGTACCTCTCTGGAATTCTCAGGTACGAGTCGCACATTTAGCATGACAGTCATATAGGGACATTTAATGTAATAGTTACTAATAACAATGCCATTAAAACGATTTTTTCTATTTATAGAAATATTGTTTGTATTGATTGATTGTTTGATGTTTTACGTCCTTTGCCAGAATTTTTCATTCATACATGTATAAGATGTCACTGTATACCCGTGAAAGCCTTCAAAGTTAGACCTAAACTCAGAGCCATTGAGCAGTGATGATTATTTATCATACCAACTCCTATAGCACAGGATTTCAGTTTTTAAGGTCTCATCCGAAACAGCCGTGACTTTTACTTCTAGTGCCAGGCGCTTGGCGGAGAAGCTGTCACTACTTATGTTTACGTCTTTGGTTTGAACCGGTGTAAAGACGAAAACTGATCCCCATAGAATAATGACCGGGGTCGTCTTTCGCCGTCGAATAATGACCCCCGGTTATTATTCAACGACGAAAAATGACCCCCGGTCATTATTCGACGTTGAAAAATGACTCTTTTGCCCGTAGAAAAAGTGTCATCACCCTACAAATCTGCATACCCTACGTGAAGAAAAATGAACAACGTAGAATAATGATCCCTTTTGGATTAAAGTTGAAATTTTAAGATGACAAAAAATAAATAAATAAATAAATTAAAAAAACAAACAAGAGACCTCTTGGCCAAAATGCTCACCAGAGCTAAATTGGGTATAGACCGATGAAATGTTGATCTCATTACGTTTTACAATTATTGCTGTTTTTAAGGTCAATGCAATGAACCACAATCTTGAGGAGTAAAAGAATTATCGAGCCCAACGGGTGAGAAGAGCATTGTTTTTCGATGGTGGAAAATCATCAAACAAACAAACAAAAAAATTATTGTAAAATTTAATGATTATATTGATAAAAACTGATTAAGCAGACATGTCAATTTTCTTGTTTACATTTGATCAAGTCCTAGCCAAACGCAGTGAGAGAATCGGAGTTAAAATAAGCAGAATTAATTTTCCATTTGAAATCTATTTTTGGTGCAATGTAGAAGTCATAGCATCGAAAGGGGAAATGGTGCATTATAAGAGGCAAAATGACAAGTTACTTTGGAAATATCTTTGATGAACCCCTCAAAAAGCTTACTGATGTAAGGTTTTTTTTTTTACTCTACTGTATCAAAAAGCTGGGGTTAGGGCAACCAGACTTGCAATGAACAGTTTCAAGCGGAGAGTTAAAATAAAAATTACGTTCATGATAATTGGAAGGGGGAGGACACCCCACCCCAACCCTGATTCTATGTTCCTGAATGTTATGTTTACTATGTCCACTGAAGTAGGAGAAATTATTTAACTATACTGTATAAACAAAACTTTCAATGAACATTTTCAGACTATCAATTGATTTACATTCAGAAAAAAGGGGGGCAATCCCTCCCCCTTCTCCGATTCTTTGTGCCTGAATATTATGTTCTTTTCAGTGGAATTCGGATGCAGGTGAAATAAATTTCACAATTGTTTTCAATCTATTTTTAATTCAATGTAGGAAAAATAAATCCTTATATTCACCTGGAAGGTCAATAAAATGGCCTGTCTTTAATGATAAATTGAAAACATTAATCAACTTCAATATACACTGTATTGAAATGTTTCCATATTGATTTGACAAACGTATCAATGTTTTAAAGTCGATTTTTTTAATTATTCCTTTTACATGTATGTATCCTATTCTCAGAAGACCATGTTAACAGACATGAATGTACGTTATACTGGGATTCTTCTTTATTACTTCTATATGTTTTAAAAGAAATTCCCATAGACCACCGTTTATAAATAAGATTGAATGCACATTATACGATTGTATATATTTCAGCCATGCAGAAATTTTATGTCCTTCTTATGTTTGCCACGTCTGCTTCATATCTGGACATTCTACTCACTATAGAAGATAAAGACCACTTAGCAACTAAATTGTCTGACAAACGGGATGACTTCAGCTTTTTCTATCGACAACTTTCCTAAGTTATGTATTCATATTCCGATACCATTTGCATATGATGTTTACGTCTACCAACTTATTCGATACCCAAGAGCACGATTACTTTTTAAATGACTTGACAGATACTTGTAAGTTGTTGTCACAGGGGTTCCAACAACCTTGTTTAAATTCAGCATTTCGAAAATTTAATGGTCGAATCAATGACCCAGTCAACAAATATAACCTATGATTAGGCCAGTTGGCTTTATACTAAATTTGACAACGTAATGTCCCGTTTACCTGATTCATTCATAGTCCTCACGATGGGTGTGACGGGTCAACAGGGGATGCTTACAATTTCTAGGCACCTGATACACGACCTCTGCAATTTCTGGGGGTCCTTTTTTCCGCCCTGTTAAAAGAATTGTATTGTTTGTGGTTTATTTAAAATCATCACTGTTCATTATTTTCACCTTTATTCATATGGAAATATATCCACAGTAAGTCGTTTGCACGAGATATCATGTCATTTGCAATACATTCTAGCTCAGTTGCACGACTTTTTATGTCATTATATATATATATATATATATATATATATATATATATATATATACAGTACCAACCAGACCCAACCTGACACAAAGCAGTCCCAGAGCAGTCCCGGGGACTGCTTTCTGGGACTGCTCTGGGACTGCTAAAGCAGTCCCAGAGCAGTCCCACAGCGGTCCCAGAGCAGTCCCAGCAGTCCCAGAAAGCAGTCCCAGCATTCCTAGAAAGCAGTCCCAGCAGTCCCAGTGGGCGGGGTTAATTAATTTAATGGGCGGAGCTTACTCAGAAATGAGATTACCAATAAACAATGTAACTATAAAAGGCAGTTGAAATTGATGATTCATTTCTTTCTGAGCAGTATCAATTCTCATGCGACAGTCATTTTTAACTGTTAAGAAAATCGCACTACGCGTATAGAAACAAATAATAAATATTGAACAAAGAAGACGTTCACACCTATAAATAACATGAATATTTAAACACAGTTTTGTGGTATATTATTTTTTCACCAAAATAAATCAATTTCTAAATTACTGTGATTGATAATGGTTTCCATATTTATTTATTTTTTATTTTTTTTTTTTAATAGATAATTAAGCTTGAGTTATCTATTTTCTACCAAAACTAGCTTTAAATAGGCCTTATAATTATAGAGCAAGGCCGATTTCCATACTATACTCTGAATGCAGTTTTCTTAAGTACTGGAGCTTTTGAAAAATTCTTTGTGTATTATATTTCAGTCATGATTATTTTCACTGACTTGCCAATTTAATTATCGTTAAATTATCTATGTAACAGAAAACAATAATACTTTTATTATATAAACATTTGAGTGTACATCTGTAAATCACGCGAATGAAACCCTCAGATTATGTTCAAAATTAATTAATCCCGAAATAAATTTATACACATTTATTGAAACGAAGATTTTTTGCAGTACATAGATTGAAATTAGTGTCATTGTTGACCAGCATGTTCAGTGATGTGTAACACTGATACCCAAATAACATGCATTGACTTTCTGCTAATCATGCCCGAAGGCGATTGAAACTTCAGGTGTTGACACAATTTTATACATTTGTATTGCTTTTTATTAATCAGCCAGGAAAACACAAACAAAACAAATAAGAAATAAGTCACAATTCCCAATATTTTAAAATGTTTATGAATTTACTCTTTTTAATTACTTGTTTATAAATCAAAAACAAATGCATAAATAAATCCCCCAATAATTGTTCACAAATATAATTTTTTAAATGACTGAAGAATGGTAGAATAATTTTTTCATGGTCATTTAATAAATTATTAGGTTTTATTTGAGGGCTGTAAAAAAAGCATGGAATGCTCTTTTTTAGCATGCATATGGTTTTAGCTTTTTCAATTTAAAAAAAAAAATCCAGTACAGTACGTCCTTATGAATGTCTTATTGTAATGACAAGTTTGTTTGATTTTTTTTTTTTTAAATAGTGCTAATGCAAACTTTGAGTACATTCCGTAACTTGACAGCATTAATTAATTTAATAGGCCTCAATATTTTTTTTTTCAATCACCTGTATTAAAGTTTTAATTAGCATTAATTAATTAAATAGGCCTATATATATTTTTTTTTCAAACACCTGTATTTAAGTTTAATTTAAAGGATAAAAGTCATCTCCTGACTTCCCTTTTAACTACTTTCATTTTTTAAAATTAATTCTAGACTACAATTGTGTAAATTTACAGCCCCTGAAGACGTTTAGTAATTACATGTATATCTATCTCTACTTATTAAAATGTTGTAAAAATCCTTGTTTTTTTTTTATTCTTTATCTTAAACACCTCTCTGCTGAAAGTAAACAAAACAACAACAGGGAGCCTGCAAATTCAGAATACACAAGGGGCGGAGCTATCATGTCACTCAGAACCTTTTTCATGCATGAGTGAACAAAGCAGTCCCAGAAAGCAGTCCCAGGGAGTGCTGGGACTGCTGGGTCTGCTTTCTAGAGCAGTCCCAGAGCAGTCCCAGAGCGGTCCCACAGCAGTCCCACAGCAGTCCCAAAGCAGTCCCGGGGATTGCTTTCTGGGACTGCTTGGGTGTCAGGTTGGGTCTGGTTGGTACTATATATATATATATATATATATATATATATATATATATATATATATATATATATATATATATATATATATATATATATATATAAAGCACTAAAAACCAACAACACTGTATATCCTAAGTGTCGGATCTACTAAGTAGATACAAGGTCACGGATGGAAATTTATACAAAGCACTAAAAATGACCAACGATATGAACATTGATAATTGTCAAATTTTCGGGACGACCTGCCCCTTCGTCAGGACAAAGAAAAAGTTAAGAAGTCATAAAAACAAAGGAAATAGAGAAACAAAAACAACCAGCACTACTACTAAACTACCAAACAATAAATGTTTACAGTGTTAAATGTTTAATTTCACGTTAATAAACAGTCGTGAACAAAGAAATCCGGAGCGCTATGAATTGCGTCCGGTCTATCGGGTGAACTCTGGTGAAGTGCGATTTACATAACTGAACGAATTAATTATCGCTAATTAATTAAGACAGGCAGTAAATCGTACATTGTCTTATTCTCTCAAAATAGCGTAACTATACGTGATAAAAAGAAATTAAAGAAAGATAATATGGAAGGGCAATTTTAAAAATATGAATTTAGATATATTATAAATATGAAATCGGATAAAAGAAATACTCAAAAATGTAAGCTGTAAATATCTGGGTAGGTTGTTCCAGAATTGCTAATGTGAATTAACGGTAAAGTTTACACTATATAGAGAGAGTGAACTTGTTTGTTATAATCCGGGATTGGGTCTAGTTCACGTTCATCCTGGTGAAGTCATTAAGTTTGTTAATACCATCAGGGCGGAATGACCTCAGCCTGTGCATCCAAAACTTTTCCTTGCCTTTTCTCTGAGCGTCTGTCCATCTTGGATTATGGTCAATAACCACTACTGCCATGTCCTACCATTTGTGACCTTCAAGGTTTAAATGTTCCCCAAAGGGTTCATTGAGTTTTTTGGTCCTAATGGTAGAACGGTGATTATTGACACTCCTGCGGAGATCTCCTGTTTCACCAACATACTGTTTAGAGCAAACTTTGCAACTGATGAGATAAATGCAGTTGTCTGTTTGACAGGACAAATTCCCCAGTATTTTGTAGCTGCGGCCTGTAACAGGGGCAGGTCGTCCCGAAAATTTGACAATTATCATTGTTCGTGTCGTTGGTCATTTTTAGTGCTTTGTATATATATATATATATATATATATATATATATATATATATATATATATATATATATATATATATATATATATATAGATAGATAGATAGATAGATAGATAGATAGATAGATAGATATAGATATATATATATATATATATATATATATATATATATATATATATATATATATATAACGCCGTACCCGATTGTAACTTTTCCTGAAAAAAGATATAATAAGGAAGTAAGATACGTGAAACGTGATTTATAAATAGATCAAGAAACATACTTTTCAACATCTTAGGAACGAAGCAATACATTTGAGACTTGAAAGCATATCACCATAATTTGCAGAAAGTTTGAAAAAATAGAGCCCTATACCTCTTAATCAATAATTAGTAGAAGGGGAAATATATACCTTGTATTATGTGAGATTGCTCTTTCGAATAATACTTTTTAGTCTTTCCAGTCCCTGAAAGAACATATATCAGGCTATCATCCTTTGGACGACAAACGGGTACCGGATGTCAACATTCTTCTACTTGGTCAAGTAGGAGCTGGAAAATCAAGCTTTTTCAACACAATCAACTCCATTTTTCGCGGAGAAATTACATCACGCGCATGTACAGGAAGTTCAGAGCACAGCTTAACAAGAGCAGTAATGATTTACTAAACCATATTTATTGATAATGAATGAGATTAATATATCGTAATAGTTACCAATATCAATTTAAGTAACTAATATTGCAATTTCTGTATCCATATCTTTTTTTTTCGCAAATCTCTTCCATTCGACGATTCTCTTCGAATGGCATCTTATCTTTATCGGCTTCCTCACAGTGAGTAAATTTATGTCACTGATACAAATTCCTCGGAAACATCAATTAAAATCAATATCTTAATTTAAATTCAACTACATTAACTTCACACTGAATATTTTGAGTTTTTGACTCATTGCCAAATCAGTGATCTCTTTTGATGTAAATTTTGAGTTTATTTTCTACTAAAAATTGGTCATGACACGGGTAAATTTAACAGTGATCTGTTACAGCTTCTAAGAAAAACATTAATGTATGCGGTCATCTAGGGAATATTTAAAAAAAACAAAAACAAACAAACACCCCCCCCCCCAAAAAAAAAGAACAATGATTATCACCACTAAATGATAATATAATCTATGTGCATACAGATATCTGAAACAGGAGATATATCATTAGTTACATAGATTTGTAGTGACCGAGTACTCGGCAAACCCCATGACGATTAAGGAACTTGAGTTGTTCTAAGTAATACAGAAGAACGATATCTCCGTATTGATTTTCAAGGGACCATGTATAAGTATTACCCCCTCTTCATGTGACAGAATTACACCAATCGTAAGCCAGACATAGAAAAATCATCAGGGGTGGGGTAAAATATTTTACAATTTGAATGTCAAAATAGAACTAGGACTACTGGAGTAAAGAATCCAATGTTTTTTTTTGTTTTTTTGTTGTTTTTTTTTTAAACGTTAATCGTTCAAGTCAATAGAAGAATCAAGCCTTACAGAAAAGCAAAATTTTTGAAAATTGATAAATGTAATATATAAAACCAATGTATTTTTTACTTGAGAACTCATAAAATTATAAATTTCATAAGATACACGTAACTTGCAAGTTTAAAAAGTAAATGCATGGAATGAAAGAGACAGGCTTTGTAGCAAATTTTTCTTATTTATTGAACCACATATGAATTTGAAGGCATGAAAATTGATGAGAATTGCTCTCCGAGTTCAGAATTTTAACTACGATCCTAGCATATATTTTGAAAGAGATAACAGTGTACTTATTTCGCGAATATGCTCGTTTTTCAACAGTTTCGGAAGTACAGAATTCGGGACCCGGCTTCGGGACAGTTTCTTAAGTTAAGGCTATGTGACACTCGTGGTCTTGAAGAGGGTCTTGGAGTGAAGACACAGGACATTGCCTGTATTTTAGACGGAAACCTGCCAGAACATTATCAGGTAAAGTTTTTTTTCACCCAATGATCTATTCTCCGACTGCTTTTTTTGATAACTTGTAGTCTGAACTGTGCATTAACGTTTTACCACTTATTAATATTATAAAATTTTACTTTTAAAGAAAGTGCATTCTATCCTTGTTAACACTTTACAATAAAAAAAATATGGGACTTTCATATGTGACAGAAAGATTGCTTATTACTTATGAAAAGTGATTAACCTTGACCAAAAGTTATTTGAAAAGTCTCAGATAACTGGCAGAAAGACTGTAAAATTCGTGTCAAGTCCCTAACTCTCCTTTTGAGAAACATTGGAAGTTCATACCTTAGACCAAATTTGCGTATGACCTCTATGTATGTCATGACTTTGGCGCAAGATCATTATTACCTAGCTCGGTTTTAATTTTTTTTTATTGAAGTCTTCCAGTCTTGACCAAACCTTGAGATTGAGAGGCACTGTGGACTCCTAATATTTTTAAAAAATTGCTTATGCCTAATCTTGACCCACAGTCATTAGACAAGTTTATTTTCATTGGCATAAAGGAGTATAGTTTGTGTCAGGTCAATAAAACTTAGATGCTGTTTTAAGTAGATTGAAAGTGTCTTGACGCCTGATTCATTGAGGCAAGTTGAGGGTTAGTGGCAGAAAATATGCAAAGGATGACTGCACTTAAGGACATGCGGAATTTGCGACAAAATAAACTTTCAAAAGAAGCATTTTTCCTTTCATTGCAAGAATGGTCAACATCCAATCTACAACTTTATGTAATTGCGTTTAGTAAAAGTGTGTATTTACGAAGTTCGAGTCTGATTTCAAAGGCAGGGGTCATCATAATTTCTTGAATCTCCGTACGATAATGACTTTTTTTTAGTGAATTTATTCATAGTCAGCACATATTTGCCTATTGTTCTACGTTTACCAGTAGTTGCATATTTGCATAAATAATAATGTGTCTAAAGGAGATTAATAGACAAACATGCGCTCATGGTTAAAAAGAGAAAAAACTTCTTCTTATACTTACATTGACTCTCTGTGGTGTAACCAAAGATTGTGACATGTTGAATATTATAATTCATCACGTGATGTCCTACCTCAGGTTACTTTGTAAATGCTTAATTCCATCACGTGACTCGTAAGGTAGCATTATTGTGCTAACTATAGGACATTGTGTTCGAATACGTTAAGTCATTTGGCATTGATATACAATCTGCTTTAATTACCTTGACGTGCTCATATTGCTAGTTTCGTTTTGAAACCTCTGTCAGAAGTGTATTTGTGCCATACAGAATGGAGAGGGAGATTGGAAAGAGTGATCACGTTCTTTTTTTCAAACATGTCATTGCTATCTATCAAGTCTAATTTTAGACCCATTCTTACAATGTTAGCTCCACCTCTCATGCATATCTAATGTTCAATCAAGGGCAGGTAAGTGTAAATTCACTACATTTGAAAAGTAGTAAGGACAAAAAACATTGAATCATTTTATTGTATCACATCATTTTAAGATTTAAATTTGGTTCCAAATTGACAGGATTCTTTCATAAACATACAAAAGGGGAATAAGGTTTAGATATAAAAGCAACAGAAGCAACCGAAAAAAGACCCCAAAACAAGCGTTAAGTGCAGTCATCCTTTGTGTTAGGTCGACAGTAACTATATAATGGAGAAACATTTTAAGTTCAAACTTCACACGAGTAGAGGTTATGTCCGGAAGGTTTGTCTAGACCTTAAACATATGGACAAATTCAAGGTCACTGGCAGAAAAAGTGTAAAAATTGTGTCTAGTACATTACTCTTTAAAAGATAAATTTTGAATTTAGTACTTCAAAAACAAAGATCTAGAGTGCTCGTGAGTGGAGGGTACATTATAACCACGATCATTTTGGGAAGATCATTGTAACTGGCAAAAAGAAAAGTGTGAAATTCATGCCAAAAATTTATGTTTGAGAAACATAAAAACTTCATTCTTCATAAAAAGATAACGTCTCACTTAGAGATAATGTCATTTCTTTAAATAAAGGTCAGTAGAGCAAGTCCAAGATCACTTTAAGAAAATTGTACATTGAACTTTTAAAAAGTTGCGGAGGAGCATCTTTGTTGCGAGTTTGCTCACATTTTTTTCTAGTTTTCCTTAATTCAACCATAGAGAACAAAAGCTTTGCACGAATTATAATGTTGCCTTTTCTGTTCTTCAGTTTAATCCAACCTTACATGCAACACCCAAATTACCAGGGTTTGTAAAGAATCCCTTGCTGAAGGACAAAATCCATTGCGTGGCTTTTGTGATAGATGCCAGTACCGTTGACGTCATGAATGATGCAGTTCACCGTTACATCAAGGAAATTCAAAGCTTAATTGTCGAAAGGGGTAATAATTTTTTTTTTTTCAGTACTTCATCATTACAGGTAAACTTTAATAATTCCGAAATGATTTAGGTGATTTCTTGTCTTATCTTTAATTAAGCCCGTTACCTAAATGTGTGATTACATAGCTAAGTTTATTTTTACTGTATGTCATAAGAATTTAATGATTAGGTCTATATTCTGTCCCAAACTATGACAAAGCTGTAACTTTTGAACCAGTGAATTACTTGAATGTTGGGAAATCAATTTATCTATTGTTTTTAAAGAACGTAATATCTATAAGGATCTACAATAAAAATCATAATTAGTTTTGGGTAAGTTGAATGTCATATTGGCATAAAAGCATAACTTCTCAAATCAGTCAAAAGAAATTTTACACTTAAATCCTACACTTGACTGAGCTGAAACATGAAAGTTGATCTCTTTGACCATGATACATTTGGATACCTCAAAGGTTAAGGGCTGTATACATTGGATAGTTCTCAGTAAAGATAGTCCAAATTTCTGAAAGGTTTGATGTAGTGAAATTGGACGTTAAAAATAAGATCAAGCGAATAGGTGTTCTTAATTGAAACAATTAAGGATATCTGTGTTTTGTCTTTATCGTGTGATGAAGGTTATAGAAAAATGAGGGCGCTTAACTTTAAAATACATACCGATACTGACTTCGAGGCATGCTAAACGTTACAAAAATAGAAAGACACAAACATTTTAGGCAACACACGTTAAACAGTCGAACTTTACACAGTTTTTCCTCTTAAGCTCACTCTTATGAAAAACCCTTAGGACGAAAAAAAAAAATCAACAACACCCGAATGTTGAATTTTGTTAACCTTTATAAGAATTTTTTTTGTTTGCAATTTTTGTAATCATGTACATGTAACACAAAATAATATAAAGTGAACAAATAAAAATGAAATAAATCATTGCCAAATAAAACAAGTACACCTCTGTATTATTCATAACTTTTCATACAATAAAATGTACATCAATAAAAATACAAAGAATCCCTACTGTAACAAATATTTCAAAGTAGTACAGGAACCATTCAGATGAATAGAAGTTTATTTCTATTGTAAAGTAAAGATATTCTTTGTATTCTCTCCATATGAACAAATATGATCATAATGCTACCTTTTCACTGTTTACAATTAAGTACAGTATAATAGCAACACTTAAGATCTACATGCCTTACATATATTTTGTCCTAGAGAGGGCATATGAGGTTTTAATTTCCACAAAAAAACTCCTCTCCTTTCAGTTGTTGTTCTTTGACCAGAACTATGTGTATTGAGGCTCAGTGCATTTTTAATCTTTGAATCATTCTTTAACTTGCAGTACAACATTGTTCATTATTCATCATTAACCTTTTGAGGCTATTAATATGTCACTCTTTTCTTATTTAGGCATTCCACAAGCAATCTATCTCACAAAGCTCGATAAGATTTGCCCTGATGTAGATGATGACGTCAAGAAGATCTTCACAAGCAATACTTGCAAACAGGCGGTAGATACGGTCGCTGACGTCATTGGTGTTCCGAGATCACACGTTTTCCCTGTGAAGAACTATGAGAAGGAAACAAGTTTACATATTCCTATCAATATTCTGGCACTCTCAGCACTTCGTCAGACGCTTGTGTTTGCAGATGACTATCTAGAGGATCAGAGCGAAATTGGAGATTGGTCTCTATAATCAGAAACTGTCCTGATGTAAATTTTGAATTTACTAATGGAGGTATATTCAAAATTAACTTTATGATAAAACTATCAAATCATATATAATGATATATTAATACCTATAGCATATATGTCACACATCATATTTTTCGTTTATCAAAGAATTGTCTCAACAAAGGTTTAGTAGTGATAAAATCTGCTGGTTAAAATGCTCTCACACATCAGGAATTAAAACACATTTCTGAGGTACCCTGCTTATAAAATAAAAGAGAAGTATTGGCAGAGTAACCAACCTCTTTTGTAACATGTAATGAAATGTACATAAAATACTTAAAGGATGTCCCATGATACTCTAATTATTTTAAGTTAAATCTAAATATTACAAATATTAAACCACATAATCCGATGGTGAGTTTTTTTTTTTTTTTTGTAATTTTTTACAACAAACTTTTTGGTAATAATTTTAAATAATTAATCATTGCAATTTAACAAAGGCAAAATACAAAACAAATACACAGAATTATTCTATTGAAGAGTTGTTCCTCTTTTAATTATTTGTAATCTTGTCAAATATTTATAAAAAGCTGTACTGAATGAGTAATTAACAGACATATATATGCAGTAGAATTTGTCAGTAAGTAAATATATGTAAACATTGATGAGGCCATATTTTTTTATCACCCTGTCTGTGTGAAACACAGAGTATGCATCAATTTGTAAAGAGAAGGAATGCACTGTATTGATATTGCAATGTATTGAATTTTCGTCTTGAACACATCTACTCCCTTACCAGATTGCGACGTACCTATACAGAAAACACTCTTTCAATAATTACAGAGACATATTTTGAATACACAGAAAAGCTTTGAGTCAAATAAAATGTGATTTTCTTTATAATCCGAATTCACTCAATATGAGTCAGGTCTTTGAAGTGGTAAAATTATCCTTCGCTTGGTGGAAATCGTTACACGAAAAAGAAGACATTATTGAATCGATAACAGTTTGCATTTTTTTTCGTAACGGAGTTCTTTAAGGTCTGGATGATATACTCCCTAATTTGCGTTGAAACTCAACAAACTACGGTTAGAGAAATTCAAATTCAATATAGTATACCTGCAGATAACAAATTTACTCATGAACATGTGTTCCTGTAGTAGTTGTTGAAAAAGGGAACTCATGCCCCTTTTTGTAAGGAAAAAAATCTTCCTCACTATCTACATATGTATTCAAAACATTGATTTATACTAATGATATTATCCCATGTCACTGATGTCAGCAATTTTTCTTTTAAATTCACACCCACAAAACTTATAACAGAAATATTTTCATTCACCTGTGCTTCTTTGTAGTAATGGAAGATACGAAGAGTTATTTCCTTTTAGGCAATAGATATATTGAAGCAGTAGATTCCGTTTCAACAGTTTTCTGCGAATGGAAAAATTACATTTCGTCTATACTCACAATTTACTTTCGGAAGATGAATTATAAAGTGTTGCTGAGTGAGAATGAGAACCTCTTTTTGCATCCAAAATATGTGTTTACTCCTCCCTGGCAACTGATCTAACATGTAACCTCTAGATTTTCCAAGGGTCCGTATTTTATGTCTTGTTCACAGATTTTTATTGTTTGTAGATTTTTTCAGGTCGATCACTATCGTTTTCTTCCAATTCGTTGATTTTATTTGCTTACCTTAAATACCATTAAGTCAAATGCTGACCGACAGTTTTCATACTAATTGTTAGACCATTATTTACACATAACTACAGATTTTTCTATTTACCCGATCATTACAAGGAGCACATGTCGGGAGTGACCTGTCGACAGAGGATGCTTACTCCTCCATGACACCTGATCCTGCCTTTTATGTTTTTAGAGGTCCGTGTTTGCACTACTCCCGATTTGTTTTGTCTAAATGGACTATGAGCTTGAATACTCTTCGTTATCTTCTTATTTCATAAGATTTACCTTTAAGCGTCCCTGATAAAAGATGTCTTTTATTTGAAACAGCGATCAGTGGTAATACACAAAACAAACATTTGCTTAAAACTACTAAAAATAGTTAAAAAAAAAACAAAAACAAAAAAAACAGTAGTATAAATCATTCATTAAATTACTAGTAAGTACTTTTTGATGGAGCCGAGGTACTATATTACATCACATTTCCACAGAAAAGTCAATAATCACCGCTCGACCATTAAGACCAAGAACATCAATGAACCAGTTATTTCAACCTCGGGGGGTCACAAATGGGAGGACTTGACAGTAGTGGTTATTGACCATAACCCAAGATGGACAAACGCTCAGAGAAAAAGCAAGGAAAGTTCCGCACTGACTGTAATTGAGTACCGCCCTAATGGTACTAACAAACTAAATGACTTCACCAGGATGAACTAGATCCAATTCCTGATTGTGACCATTCTCTCCATATAGTATAAACTTTACAGTTAATTCACATCATCAATTCCGCAACGACTAACACACATATTTATTGCTTACATTTTTGAATATTATTTCTTTTATCCGATAATCTGTCCTAAAAACATTTACAAATTTATAATAGATCCAAATTCATATTTTAAAATTTTCTTTGTATATTATCTTTCTTTGCATAGTTTTTTTTTGAGAGAGAGAATAAGACAGCTAGTGTACATGTACGATTTACTGCTTGGTCGTAATAAATTAGCGATAATTAATCCGTTCAATTATGTATATCATGTCGCACTTCACCAGGTGCACCCAACAGTCCGGACGTATTTCACAGCAGTCCGGGTTTCTTTCTTTACAAATGGTTATAAACTTTTAAATTAAACATGTAACATTGTAAATATATAGTGTTTGGTAGTTTTAACTTAAAAGTTGTAATGCCATTTGTAATGCCATTTGTTTTTTGTTTCTATATTTCATTTGTTTAAATGATTTCATAAGTTTTTTCTTTGTCCTGAGGAAGGGACAGGGCGTCCCGAAAATTTGACAATTTTTAATTGTTCGTCACTTTCAGTGCTTATATATATATATATATATATATATATATATATATATATATATATATATATATATATATATATATATATATATATATATATATATAACAAATGATAAGTGGCATAATAAGCCAAAACAGAGAAACTTAACCCTTTAATAAACATTATTATTAATGTTGACCTTTCTATTTCCGTGCAAAAACCATTGGAAGAGGGGATTTGAAAAACAAAATGCAGAAAAGTATTTTCAACATGAAGAGTGGAAAACCTGGTTTTGAAGATTATTTCTTTATCATCGCCAGCGTGGCGCAGTAGTTAAGTCAATGTTAAGTCTGTGCTCCTCTACGGATCCGAAACATGGAGAGTCACCGACAACACCTATAACAGACTACAAACCTTCACAAACAGATGTCTGCGTCACATACTAAACATCAGGTGGCCAGAAAAGATAAACAATAAGAGTCCATGGAAAGCAACAAACCAAGACTCGATCATTCAGCAAATATCCCGTAGAAAGTGGTAGACTGGGCATACCCTCAGAAAACCATCGGGAGACATTAAACGCCACGTTATCGAGTGGAACCCTCAAGGCAAACGTCGGGTTGGGCGTCCCAGCTCAACTTGGCGAAGGTCATGTGAAGAGGAAATCAGACAGTTGGACAGAGCTGGGAACAACTGAAAAAGGCTGCTCAAAACAGAGTGCGATGGAGGACTGTTGCTGAGGCCCTGTGTTCCACCAGGAACCAAAAGGAATCATGATGATTCAGCAGGTAGAGAAGGTTTATAATTCCGCAGATCACTGCATCCTGGGATTGCGTGGGGGGTATGGGGGTGTCAGAATTTCCAATGAAAATAAATATATTTATGCTAGACACAAACGATCAATCTGTAAACCTGACCTCAGGTTTAAATATATAGTTTTCTTAAAAAGTAAACGTAGATGTTTATGTCAAAACTAGAGGTTTTATTTACTTTTAATCTCTACATGTATTTGTGACTCGTGTGAGGGTTGTTGCCCCCTTCCTTTAGTTATGCTCAGGTATGATGTTAAATATTTGTTGTTTATGCATATTTTAAGTTCTGATATGAATTATTTAAGAAAAAAGAAAGAATGAAACGTATAGCAATGTGGACAGAAGCTATGTACTCAAATAAAAGTATCCATGGTTTCAAGAACTGATCCATGAGAATTATTACCTTACTGTCGCAAGTGACACATTTCCCTGTTTTTGGAAGTCTAAATTAGATAGGGTTCTATAGGATGCTTCAAGTAATATCGATTTGTCACATACGTATGCTATGAAAGATGAGAGTTTCTTAATTTTCTGATCGCTAACAGCGTGGGAATTAAAAAAAAGTCGTATATTACCGGGGGAAAAAAATCAACAAATGATCCTTATTGGCCGCCATACATCAGAGCTGGTGAATGGAAAATAAAGCGGAAGTGAAAATCTTTTCAACGACTCATAAGGTAGGAACAATTTTTGTTCTTTTTTGATTTTGTACGAATTTTCAAAGAAAACCTTCTAGTATTCATTTTTTTCATCTCCCTTGAATTACCGGAACGTGCAAAATGCGATCTGTTGAATTTGGAAGAAAATGAAAGCCAAGTTTGATCTACAAGAAGATCTAAGGGATATAAATGCCGAATTTAAAGAAATAGAAAGTAAAAACGATTACTCACATCTTGAACATACGTTGGTTGAGTTTTATGCATTGTGAAGGATCAATCAATGCATTTCCCCCAAAAGTTTTTGATTTCTAAATTGAATTTATAGTTCGGAATATTATTTAATCTTTTGCAGAAAAAATGTCCAAAATGTGGTCAAAAATAAGCACCATAATATGGTGCTCGAGCCGGAGGCGAGTATTTGTCAAACCCTGACTACTATTTAGGCATAGTATATTCAAAGCACAGTAATATTGTTATTATCATGCTGACTGTTTTATAAAAACGACAAGTTTCGAGATTATCTCCTTTGGTGCGCTCTTTAGTTCCGGAGGGGAGTTTTGTTTCCGCGGAACAATTATTTATTATGGATACGTTACATCATCGATATGCCAGTTTGTCATTTGTCGAGATGTACTTATCAAGTTAAAAATTATCGAATTTAGGTCAATGCGTAATTTTTTTAACCAAATACTTCGGAACAAAAGAAAATATTTGTGGGTAAAACTTATTCGACGTGGAAAAAACTCTGGATAGAGAATGGGATCTCTGATATATACACACGCAGTTGGTCATTGCACGTCGGCGTTCTGAATGACACACCGACTTTTTCCCTTGTAATAATTTCAAAAACAAAATTTGAAGTGTGGTGGCTAATTAATGATTTTTTTTTCAGCTGTATAATATATATATATATATATATATATATATATATATATATATATATATATATATATATATATATATATATATATATATATATATATATATATACTGTAGATTTGCAAATAATCACGATCATGGTTTTTATTTCACTATGTTCGTTACTCATCTTTTTTCCGCGAAATTAAACCCATCGTGAATTCTATCATTTGTTTTTAAAAACGTTTAAATGCCTATACGAACTTTAAATTAATTTCTTGCAGCGTGAAATTAAAACCATCGTGATTGGTATTTTTGAGACATCGTGAAATTTTAACACTGTGGAATTAAAACGACTTACAGTATATATATATATATATATATATATATATATATATATATATATATATATATATATATATATATATATATATATATATATATATATATATATATATATATATATATATATATATATAAATAGTGCACGTTTTTGAGGGTAACAGTTGAAATTGACACCCCAAGGAAAACCATTGTCAACCGACGCGTCAGCGGAGGTTTACAATGGTTTTCAGAGGGGTGTCAATTTCAACTGTTACCCTCAAAAACGTGCACTATTTATTTTATTATACTGAATGTCTTATTGATTTCGGATGTCATCAAAAAAAAATCGGAGATCGTCGTTAAGTTCACACTTAGAAAGCTTTCAAACTCCCCGCTTCTATTTTTCTCAATAAGAAAGCTTTCGAAAAGATTTACCAACCTCTTTACTGTTTGTTTGCTACTCTAAAAGTCCTTTATCATCTAAAGTTTGCACTTGCAAGGATGTTTCGTCTGTCGTTTGTTGTTTTCAAGTAAGCTTCATCTGACGCAAGCTTTTATTGACGTCGTTTATTCGGCTTCTTTCAAACGCACAACTGACGCTTTGAGAATTCTACGGTGAACCGTACGCGCATGATTTCAACGCATGTGACATTTTCGTTATCAAGTGTGTTGCTTACGCTGAGGGTAACATTACGGATTGTTAAATGTGTCTAAACCAATCAGATTTTAGTATTTAACATGAAAGTATAATATATATATATATATATATATATATATATATATATATATATATATATATATATATATATATATATATATATATATATATATATATATATATATATATATATATATATATAACAATAGAAATAAGAACAATATTGTCAGGAACCACATGCATCAGAAGTGCAACTTGGGACCCAAACTACGACAGATTATCTACCTATCAATGTACAAGAATAAAAAAAAACAAAAACAAAAACAAAGCAAAAAAAAAACAAAGATCATATAAAAAAAAACTAAAATACTTTAAACCCCCCCCCCCTTCTGTAGTCCATACCGGAATTCAGTAGACCTTTTCACAAAATATTTTACCACTAAAACATTTTTTTTATATTTATTCATGAGGAAAGTTATACTGTGTCACAGAAGATCTTATATTTTTAGCTTGTTGTGTATTGTGAATAATCCTGAAGACATTCGTAATTAGTAAATTTACTAAAGTCATAGGCATTTTGGTGAAAGGGGCCGCAGAAAGATCCACCCCTCATAGTGCATATCCCATGCAGTCTAGACAGTGACGTCATTGGAATTCGTTAAATCGATTTTTTTTTTATTCTCCAAAACACAGTATGGTTTATTAAAAATCAAATAAAACTGTTTTAAAAAGAGAGTAAGCATTATGTACGAAAACCCATTGAGCTCATTTTCGTAGGTTAAATACATACATACATATATATATATATATATATATATATATATATATATATATATATATATATATATATATATATATATATATATATATATATATATATATATATATATATTGACGTTATAACGCGAAACTTTCGTATTACAACGCGAAACTTTCCCTGTAAAACACAGACATTTGGATGAGACTCCATTTTCTTTTAAATTTAATGATCTAGTTTATTCATTAGAGTGAAAAACGAAAGACTATTTTAAACTTGGATTATCACAAGCTGAAATTTTATGTTTTCTCGCCATTGAATGGGTCTTACCAATTTCTAAATCTTTTTTGCCGTCACATTTTGTCTTTCTCAACGCTGTTCAGACATTTTCAAAGTCTATGCGAATTTTTCCAAAGTGAAATTTTTATAATTATGAATTTCCGGAAAATTATCCCCCATTTCAGGCTTCATTTTTAACTCTCTCAATAGAATTTGAAATAAAATTAAGATCTCAGCAAATTGACAAAAAATGAGGTAAATTTGTATATTTTACAGAACAATTGTGTCACATCACATGAGTAATGTAATGTGAAATTTGGATCAAATATTCGTATCAAATGATTTGTCTCCAATAAACTCACTGTAGAAATACAAAATCGTATTTTAAGGTTGCGCCACGTGGTCATACCATTACTTACGAAAACATTGACAATTTATTCAAAGATATCTACAATATCAGGCTCTAATTTTTTTTTTCTTTGGACGGAAAAGATGATGTTAAATAGGCTAAATATGTACAAAGTCTTTGCTTTATACCTTAAGCAGTTTTAATTTATAGCGCTTGTTCACGAACTTTTTAATAATCTCTTGTGTATATAAATTATGGAGGAAAATCAAGAAAACTAGACCCCTCCTCTCCGATTAAATTGTCATTAACAGTATCCCATTATAATTATTCTTTAAAAAGCATCTTATGGCACGTTAAGCTCATGAAATGATACATCCCTAGAAAAAAAATACTAACTATAGTTTACTATAGTATCAAATTTTTTACTAACTAAAGGTGAATCAAAGCATTTTTACTATGGATTCCAGATTGTTATAGTTTTTGTTCTTCAATTCATGCATGCACATTTATAAATTAAGGTATTCAATGTATAACAACCACATTTTGTATTGAATAAATGAATGGTCCGATATTTTAAATCAAGTTAGCATTTTAAAGGTGTTTTCAACTAAAAGTACTCCACCGAAGGAATTTTCCAAATTTTGACTATTGTCCAATTACATGTAATTGTGGCTTGATTTTTACATTGAAGTCTATGAGCAGCGAATGTTTTATTTAGATATTGTAAAAAGTAATTTGAACTTCATACAAAACTCTTGGTTAAAATATGCATAAACCCTCGCTTTATCAATATATGAAATCAATCATCTACCACAGATATTTTGACAAAATAAAAATTTTTCTGCTTTTCATCAAGGGCAGAAAACCCTTGAAAAGTTTTTAAGGTGCAAAATGACCGGTTTTTTATATGTCCTCAGTCAAATGAATTTGATTCATTTTACTCTGATCATTATCTAGCAATATATTTTTACATTTCGGTTATGCGGGAATTTGACGCGAGATTCAAGATCGAAAAGATTATGGACGCCAGATTACTGTAATAAAAATATAGTTTACATATTTTCGTGGAGTCAATTTTTCGAGGTTTGAAGAAAAAAAAATATTGGTTCGAGGGGATTTGATTTCGTGCTTGGGAAAGTGTTGCGTAGTTGTGCATATGAAATTTACATTTCGCGGTGAACATGAGTTCGTTGGTCTCTTTATACCTCGAAAACAACGAAAACTAAACCCCCACGAAAGTTAATGATTTCACAGTAAGCTAGGAATATTTATTGCTGTCTCCGAACAAATGCACAACTGCTTATAAGCATAGAAGTTGTTGACAATAATGTGGTTATCTCATACAGCTTGACAGTTTTCATGATGAAATATATATCTATTATTCTGATTAAAGATGTTTTTTTTTTTGTAGTGTGAAGAAATTCAGCGATATGCAGTTTCCTCGACATGTACCTACTTTTAGTCAATCAAATTATCCCGAAAAAGGTAAGGAAAATCAGTTCAATTAAGTTGTTTTGATTTTTTTTTTATTAATAGTATAATGATTATTGAACAAAGTTTTGCTGGAAGAAACTAATTCTTGATGGAACTATTTTTGTATGCCGTTTGAAATATGTAAACAGTTAAAACACATTTCTACTGTTAAATTATTTCTAGGTACATGTATGTTATATAGATCTTCATCTTCTTGTCAATTATACAGATGAATCTGAGAATAAGACTCCTGATCCTTGGAGAAAACCACCAGTCTGGGAATCAGCAGTAATTATATAAATATTAATAACAGTTGAAGAAAACATTTTTAGATGAAAAAAAGAGAAATTCAAAGATTTTTATAATCAATTATTATAACAGTCATAAAATGTTTCACAATTGATATTTTAGCTATAAATAAAACTAATCTAGTAATTATCATTTCTGTACATACAATATGCTTTTGTGATACTGATTTCATGCATGACATCTAGTTTTTATGCTCATTTGAGACAATTATTATTTGCATGTAATTGAATTGCGTTCAAAGGATTTTGAATTTCTATGGTCAATTCTACAAGTTAAACTTAAATACATAAAATGAAAAAAACAACAACATGTGCTCTATTTGTGATTTTGGGAATGAGTTTAATTTACTATACTTCAAATATTTTTTTTTTTCTCTAGACATTTATTGAACTAAAAATTATGCAACGGCATATGTTCCTTTGAAAGAAGTTGAAGTTCCAGAAGTAAACATCCTGTTTGTTGGACAAGTTGGTGCTGGGAAATCAAGTTTGTTGAACACTTTCAATTCCATATTTAAAGGAGAGCTAACCTCACGAGCCTGGACCGGAAGTTCTGAACACAGTCTTACTACAAGTGTAAGCCCATGTTCGTCAACATTTCTACAGAGCCTGTGTTTGTTGCTTAAAAAAAAATAATTCCGACTTTGAAGCCTACTTTAACCCTTTCGTACTCTCATAGTAGGAAGTTTAACAGATGGCTCATAGGCGTGTTGGCTGTATTTATATAACCAGTTATTAAAAATTATAGATACTTATATAATTGAGAGAAAACTCATCGTTACCTTTTTTAACAGAATGACCAGCATTTTTAAAGTAATATTTTAAATGAATAAAAAAAAAACAACAACACATGTCTAATCCGGACACCACTGGTTCCAAAGAATTTGGTCGGATTAGCTATAGACAACATTCCGGATTAGACAGCATTTAAAACAATGAAATTTACTGCAACAGACTGAAATTTTTTACCGTATTAGACAAGATTTCGGATTATACAACATCCGGATTAGACAAGTTTCACTGTATTATGTTTTCGGGTTATTTTATAACGCATTTGATGTCTTTTAAAAGTAATACTTGTTTTATTTCAGTTCAACAAATTCCGAATCAGGGACCCTTCCACAAAAAAGTTTCTAAATTTCAGATTGTGTGATACGCGGGGTCTGGAAGATAATTTATGCATTAAGTATGAAGATATGGCCTTCATTTTGGATGGAAACCTACCACACAACTATAAGGTTTACATCCCTAATGTACAAAATCAGTGTATTTCGTAATTATTCCATAGGAAACGAATTAGTTTCAAATGATAGATATACTAATATAAGAACGCCTACAGTACAAAATTGTATTTTTAAAAATAACGATTATTAGTAATCAATGAAGTATGTTTACTTATGGGTAAATAAAATATGCTAGGGGTTATAAAAAAAATCGTGGACTGGCACTATGAAATTAAAACAGCGTAATGTACATCATTTAATTTTTACACATTTAATCAATATCATCTTTCTTGACTACAGAATAAACTAAAAGACACAAGGTTTATCTTTTAAAATAAATGTCAATGTTTTTGCAAACAGTAGTATGACCATGCGGCGGAACCTCAAAATACATGTACGACGATTCTGTACATAGTCTAACGGAGGCAAATATTTTGATATAAGTATTTGTCGTCCAGTTTTCACATTCAATCACTCGAGTGTTGTGACAGAATTTTCCAGATATTTCTTTCCTCAGTTTTTATCTCCGTTCTATGAAATCTTATCGTAGATTAAATAGACAGTACTAAAAAAAATACTGTTAAAAATGCATGACGTGTTTTCTTTCACTTTTCCTCAGCAGTTTATTGTTTCGCTATGGAAAAACTCTCATAGACTTTGGGACTAATTGATCAGGTCCAAGAAAGAAAAAAAGTCTAAATTGCCTGTTTTCAAATGCCGCAGAAGATTCAGAGAGATGAGACACTCATTATTATAAGGACTGAAGAAGAGCTTGGTTTTTAGCTCTACTTCTCAGAGACCAGAAGAGCTTATGCATTGGTTAGGTGTCCGTTTTCCGTCCGTCCATCTTTCTGTCTGTCATTCTATCCGTCTATATACATTTTTTAATGCTACTCCCAGTACAGTTTTGGTCCAATTTCAATGCAAGTATTCATTTTAAAGGAATGATCGGCATGGGGTCATAAAGTCAGAATTATGTAATATGTTGAAACAGTTTTTTTAACAGACATTTTCTATTTTATCTTTATAGACTTTAATTAATATTTTTTACTGTGAGTATGTATATATTTAATTTCACATTATTTAAATTTAAATTGAAGAAAAAAATTTAACCGGGAAATGTTGTTCTATAGAGTAGTATGACCACATTATGTAACCTTTAAAGTGACATTGTGAAGGACAAACGGGAAAATTGACAACAGTTGAATTTTTGCATGACACATTCTAATTTTTTTCAGTTCTTGAAGATATAAGGTTTCAGAAAATTGCAGGTTTCAGAACCTAAAAAATCTAATTTAATGGAGAAAAATAAAGGTAAAAAAAAAATCTTTGTATAATTCATCACAAAAATATCGCTTCACTTCTTCCTCTTTATTGTACGCATGCGCTGAAAAGTTGAAGAATTTACCTTGTTTCAATTTCATAGATATCAATGTCGGATGACTGCAAATTTTGATACAATCTTCAAAAAAGATTATCATAAAGTATTCCTTACTTCCGCTTGCGCCAATTCAATGTTGTTTACAAGTTCCACGCTAAAAATAAAGGACGCATGACCTTGACATTATTGACATTGACGATAAAAACAAAGCGAAAGATACAACATTTGTTTTTCCGGCACTTATATTTTGCAGTTTTTTTCTTGCTTTACAGTGCAGTTGAGTTGTCAAAACTTTGCTATATTCATATTTCACAGAAATCTTTTGTTTTTTGATACAATTTTCTTAAAAGAAACACATGGTTTTGACTCATTATGCAACTTTAAAAAAGTATTTTGTAACTGGAAAGATGTAATGTTGACACTTTCGTGAAATAGGATGAGAGACACGAAATTAAATGGCCTAAACCTTTGTAAAGAAAATAACTTTGCAGAAAAAAAAATTAACTGTCAAACCTTTTACAGATTTCTTAATTAAACTTGCAAGGAAATAAAACTTCACATTTATTCTACTCAGTTCCACAACTAGTCATTATTTTGTAAACGATTTTTTTCTTGATAACAGGATTAGAAATTATATTCAGGAATTATTCCCTAGCTGAGTTAGGGCTAAGGAAATAGTTTAAACGACCTTGTACATAATGTTTCCTGATAAACTCCAAACGTATCATGAGCCGTGTGCAAAATCAATCGATACATTCTATAATTAGAGAAAGCGTCATCGTAGGTAGATTGGAGACAGTGTGATTTCATGTTATGTTATGGCTATGTGATGTGTCAGGCATTTTTGTTTTAAATCATCATTATTTTAGAATTCAAAATCGATGAGATTTGAAAATTCTTTATAAACGATAATATGCTGAAAGACATAAATAGACAGAATAGGATAAGTTGGACTTTCTTAATTCGATTTGACCTGATTATTTTTGTTCTTTTCTGAAACACCCATGAATGAATTAACTTCACCCTTTGAGAAGTGTACTACTGAATGAAAAATAGAAATTTAGATAAATAATTGTTTATATAGGTTTTTGATTTTGACAAACGATGTTGCCATGATTGCTAAAATAGAAATTTCTTTGAAATTCTTTCAAAACACAAACCTTCCTACAATTTTGGTCCAATTTCAAATGGACTTAGTACACAGTCAAGTACATAATTCTAAGAAACATAATTCTTGATATCGGTTTTTGATTTCGACAAATGGTGAAATAAATTTCAAACGCTATTCTTCGCACATTTTTGATCACTTTAAAAAAAAGACTTGATACACAAGTACACTGTACAAGAATACAAAGTTCTTAATATCCGTTTTTTGATTTCGACACAAGGTATTGCCATGGTTACTAAAGATAAAAAAATTCTTTGATTTTTTCAAAACGCTATTTCTTCTATTGGTTTGGTCCAGTAAGACTTGGTACATGTACAAGTACTCTATACCCACTAATATTAAGATACATTAAGTACACACCAGAAGAGCTTTAGTCTCTTCAGACACTGCTGGTTTCAATTTTATGTCTGAAAATCCAACTTATACTCACAGTTTACTTTCTAAGGATGAAATTATCAAAAGTCACATTTCAGTCTTTAATACTTTTATAATTCCAATCATCAAACGTGAGTTCGATCTACCCTACCAAAGTTAAAAAAAATCCTAACGAACAAAGACGAAAATTCTCTTCCAAGCCCCTATCTTAACTCCTCACAAAAATATTAACTGCTATGAAGGAGAAACTTTAGAAGTACTGTGCTGCAGCATATTCTAGAAGTGGTGTAAATCAGATGTGGATTCTCAAAAACTCTAAGGAATTTTTAGAAAATATAAAATCACCAAGCATCAAAACGTACACTTTTCTGCAGTTCAAACAAGCATTCCCCATGATAAATTAAAAACTAGGCTTTTTGAAACTATATTCAACTCTTCTTCAATAAAAACGGAAGACATTTTCATATATTGTGATTGGTAGCAAAATTACTTTGTTAACAAATCTACATGGGAAGAAGAAAACACTTGTTGCTGTGGCCTTCAACTCGACACTTAGATACATCGACGACGTGTTATCAATTATCAATAGTCACTTTTATTCGTATGTCGACTGGATAAATGTGTATGTCCCAGTAAACTCGAAATATAAGATACCACAAAGTTTTGCACATCTTTTTACTGACTATAGATGGTCAGAGCCAATCAACAACAACATTGTTTGAGATACGAGATGACCTCAACTTTTCAATTGCCAACGTTCTTATTTAAATAAAGTAAATTGACTTACCTTGTCATTGGTCATTTGCAAAATTATTTTCTTAAAATATATTCTAATTGTACACACAAGTACCCTGAAGTTGATATTAAAAAGATGCTTGAGTTTGTGATTGACAATACCCATGTCCTTTTTTTTTGGAGACTAGGTCTTCCAACAATCTGTTGGAATTCCCATGAGTACCAATTGAATTTATTCAGAATCTTATACATGAGAAAAAGAAATATCTTGCTTTGGCCTTCAACTCGACATTTACAAACATCGACGACGTTTTATCAACAAACAATAGTTATTTTCATTTATATGTCGACATGATATATCCCAGTGAGCTTGAAATTAAAGATACCACAGAGTCTGACACATCTGTTGCATATTTGGATATTTTACTAGAAAAAAAACGTTAATGGTAATCTAACAACAAAGCCTTATGATAAACATGATGATTTTAGCTTTTCAAATGTCAACATCCCTTATTTATCCAGCAACATACCATTATCACCTGCATACGGGGTGTATATCTCTCAGTTGATTCGGTACGCAAGAGCATGCTATACGTATGAACAATTTCTAAAACGAGGTAAGTTATTGACATACAAGTTGATGAAACAAGAATTTAAACAGTCTCGTTTAAAGTCATCATTTAAAGTTCTATGGTCGATACAATGACCTTAATTGTCAGCAAATACAATCTATCATTAAGTCATATGCTGACTGACGTTTTTCATATTTATTGTTACGCTATTGTTTACACACTGAATTGTCGGCTGGTTTTCCTGTTACTCCCCGATCATGACAAGAAACACAGCGGGTGTGACCGGTCGGCAGGGGATGCTCGCTCCTCCATGACACCTGATCCCACCTCTAATGTTTTTGGAGGTTCCTGTTTGCTCTGCTCCCAATTTTATTGTTTTAATGGACTTTGAGCTTGATTACTGTTCGTTAACTCTGTATTTCATTATGTAGTAATGTACCGCAATGACCTGTATATGTATATGGTGTTTACGTCTCCCAACATATTCGATACTCAAAAACATGTTCCAAGTACGAACAATTTTTAAACTGCATGAGACAGGCTACAGACAGTTAAATTGCTGTTACTGGGATGTTGGCAATCTTGTTTAATGTAAGCATTTGGTAAATTCTATGGTGTTCTAATGACCTTGTTAGCAAATAAAGCCTATCATTTGGTCCCACTTTGTCTGACGTGTTTCGATTGTAACCAATTGATAGACTTTTAAGAACCATTTTTGGTAAAGGCATATTCCTGCTCCTATGGGTAAAATTTTGGAAATCCCCTGAAATGTGCAAAATTGTACATATTGTATAAGAGAAATCTCAACTAATATGATGCATTATTGATTTGGGAAAAAATCGAGCATATTTGCATTTGTGCTGTCACAAACTATTGAAATTTCCCTTAGATTTCTTTTTTAAAAGAGAGAGTTAAAGAGAGAGAGAGAGAAAAAAAAAAGAGAGAGAGAGAGAGAGAAATGCACGAATTTTGTTCAATTTTGACGAGTTTTTCAAAGAGCACACATTTGTTCAGGAATTTTTTTTACACATTACATTGATGTTATCATTTTACACATTATATCAAAAGACAAGAGAGTGAGCAGACCTGCGCTCAGTATTGTCCAATCAAATTACTGACGTATTTTTTTTTTCTTTTGAAATTATTAAAACGCTGAATTTGCGTCATTTTTGGACTTCATAGCTTACTTATGAAGCCACAGTGGATAAAATGTTTAATGCTGTAAGGTCTGTATTTATTCTCCTGGCCTAGAAAATATTTTAATATTTTCTCATCAAGGTTTGATTAGGGGAGGGGAGTTATTGGCCTTTACGGAATTAAGTTTTTCGGAGTATTCCGTCTACCGATGATTCTCTGTGACCGATCGATAGGGGATGCTTATGCCTCCTAGTCACCTGATCCCACCTCTGAAATTTTCAAGTTATATATCATAGATTTGTATTGTTTGCAATTTTTTAATGTCTATTACAGTTCGATAACTTTTTTTTCATTAATGCCGATTCGCGGTCTTGGTGTCCAAAGTCAGTCAAGCCGAAAAGTTACGTTGCTTGCGTGCTATAGAAATTGAACTCGGATTAAGCTGCCAAAATCAAATGAGGATATTTATCTTTTGTATTTGTATCAATCCATTTACAATATTGTGTTTCTGAAATCAGCAATTCGTGACATATTTTAAAGTCATATAACACGTGGGCTTCAATCAATATTCAATAATAATGTATCTCGTGAAGAAAAATGCATCGAGGCTTAGGGAGCGGACGTTAAAAAACAATGACGTATGTCGAATGTCATATAACAAACAGTGAGAGCGCCGAGCGATTATGAATTATCTTTAAGATTTAATGATGAACTGCAAAATATTCAAACTAAAATATTCAACACTTCTTAAACTTTTGTTTTTTCATGTTCCTTATAAATTTTCTAAGAACAATATACATGGTATTAATTGTATTGCATCAGTCCACGAAATTTTCATTACCCCTTGTAAATACACTGTGACAGGTGTAATGGCCAATTCCTAGTTGTCAATGAAATCAGGACATTACCTTTACAATTATGTGGGCTTACAATACAAAGTAAAAGGAAGTACTCTATAACTTTCATTACTTTCTTTAAAACCAGTTTAATTAAAAAACGTGCACAATTTTATATGATTAGTTGAGAATTTTTATCAACACCAAACGTTCTATCTTAAGTTTAACCCTGTGGCCCACGCCTCCGTTGACACCCCTGGATTTCAGAATCAACCAGCGCTGAAGGATAAAGTACATGTTGTTGTTTTTGTTGTGGATGGAAGCACGTTTGATGTAATGCCAGAAGGAATTCTGAGGAAGTTGAGGGAAACAAAAAGTATGGCTATCGATAGAGGTAAATATAGCTATGTCCTAATGCTTTTTGATGATCGAATCAAAACTTTAACATTCTATATTCTCTCTCTCTCTCTCTCTCTCTCTCTCTCTCTCTCTCTCTCTCTCTCTCTCTCATTTGGAATTTGCCAATCATGAATGAAAGTTATAATGAAATGATTTTTTGTGATTTATATAAGCTTGAAATGTGAAATTTAAGACTGTCTACTCATATTATTTACATAGTTTCTATCAATAAGTTCGATCAAACCTAAATGAATTTCAAAATTTATTCCACATTTAGCCCTGAAAACAAAGTTACAGGACGTGCAGTTGTACGGAAAAAAAATGAATAACATTTTGAAAATTAACGATACCGCTGTCCATGTTATGAAAGAATGATTTTCAATAACTCACAAAAATTCAATAGTCATATTTACATTTATCGATTTCATTGCAAATTGATACAATATTGTTTTATACATGTTACGTTATGCACACGGTAGTTTTATATCTTAATTTAGGGAACAACAGTCATTGTTTTTCCTGAGTTTGAGTTTTGATTAAGCTTATGAAGGTCCAATAGTTCAATTTTTCTGACGCAGAAATGGAAAAGAATCGTTATTTTAACCTTTTGACCTCCTAGTCTTTGTAATGTTATAATTAATGGCTAATTATATCAAACATATAAATCAAATGTAAAAATAGGGAAATAAACTAATGTGATTCACTTTTAACCAGTTTATTTATTTTGTAGGAAATGTAAAAATCATTTTAAAATTATAATGCCAAAATTACTCTTCTTTTTAGGTATTCCCCTTCTAGTTTACGTAACGAAGGTTGACAAAATATGCCAATTAGTTGACAAAGACATCAGAGATGTATTTTTCAGCAAAGCAATTGAGGGAATCGTTAACAAAATTGCAGATGTTATCGCCATTCCAAGATCACACGTTCTCCCGGTGAAAAATTATGAAAAGGAGGACGACTTGGAAACTAACCTGAATATTTTGGCCTTAAAAGCTTTGCGGAAGGCTCTCTTGTTTTCCGATGATTTTTTAGAAAACCAGTGTGAATTACTTCAAGAAGAAACCAAAAGACTTAACACCAAAGATTAATTTCATGACCAAGTAACAAGTAGTTGTAAATGTGATATTGAACTAATCTACTTGAATATTTTAGATCTTTGTACATAATTAAGGGTAAAGCATTAGCATATTATACTCTGAATGCAGTTTCATATTATTTCATGAATGCGGTTTCTAATATATCCTGGATATTATTATTTTCACTAACTTGTCGATTGAATAATTTTTAGAATCTCTTTGTAACAGAAAAAAATTTAGGTATTTTATTCTATTAGCATGATAAGCCTTTATATTTCAATCATGCTAGTGAATACCTCATATTATATATGTTCAAAAGTAAATAATCCATAAATAATTTTATACCATATTTATTGAAACAAAGATATTTGCAGTACGAAGATCGAAATCAGTATCATTGTTGGCCATCGTGGTCAGTGATGTGTTACACTGATACCCAAATAACACGCCTGGAATTTCTGCTAATCAAGGCGATTGAAACATCAGGCGATGACACCCTATTATAAAACTTATATAAAACTTATATGGCTTTTAATAAATCGGCCAGGCAATGCAGTTGGTATTTCTCAAACATACACAAAACAAATGATAAATAGATAAGACACAATTCCCGATATTTTCAAACGTTTATTTTTCTAAATATTAAATGTATTTTTTTAAATAACTTATCATAACCGGGTCAACCTCATTCCGGACTCCAGCCTAATGGTTCTTATTTTCTGTACCTCAACCACTGAAGTTTGAGGAGGCAGAGTCCCGAATGACATTGGGCCGATCATGCATTTGTTTGTATAACCCGGGATCTTTGGCTATGCAAGTGAGAGGACGCACCAAGTGGAATAACTCTTATAATCTTTGAGCTTGGTCGGAGTGACCCAAGTCAACTTTTTATTTCTGCGAAATGACCCTTGTATATTACACTTCCACTTTCCCTCTAAATCTGAGGACCTTCCCTCACCAGAGCGGCTCACAGGTGTTAAGGTGTGGCACTGTTACCCAACCTGTATAAAATGCAAGCAGAGACAGACACAATCCAGTTTCTGACTTTATTACATTAAACAATCCATTTTTTTCTATTAATGATTACATGAAATAAATTTACACAAGATACTAAACATTATAATAAACATTACCACTTATAATCTAAATATTTAAACCCTTAAATAAAATTAGCAATCTGAAAATTTTACTTAAGTTTTATAAAAACGCGCAAGTCTACAAAATGATCTCACCTGTATAAAATGCAAGCAGAGACAGACACAATCCAGTTTCTGACTGAATGTGTCTGGCCGTCCGCTCATTTTATACCAGGTGTACCCTTGTAGTTTTACATCTCCATATTTGTAACTCCCTCGAAATTTGCCATAATTACTTTAGATTTTAATTTGAATTTCAGTTACCATTATTCTGTCCTCCAACACTCTATAGTTTCCTAATGCACTTTAAAAATCATTTTCTATCTTTTGCATAATTGTTAAATATTCTTTGTTGTAGCTAATTTATACTAACAACTGACCTCTGGTCACTTCAATACTATTGGTTGCCCTTTTCTCCTTACCAAATACATCTTTTGATAAACAAGTAACAAACCGCATTCCAATTTAATGTATCATTTTCTTAGAATTGTACAGGCTACAAAGGTCAAACCCTAGTGACAAGCTTTTATGTTTATTTTTATCTTCAAAGCTTCGCATCTGTTATCTCTCTCAGCCGAATAGTGCAAATAAACCAAAATATGTTACATCCTTATTTTTTTAAGCAATTTTTGTTATGATAAACTTATAAGTCAAAATGTAATTCCACAAGTATTTGCTCAGATTGTTTATGTGACGGAAGGATGGTAGAATAATTTTATTTCATGGACATTTAAGTAATTAGTTTGATTTTGAAGGCGTTAAAAAAGAAATCATTGATTTATTATTATTTCATTTTATTTGGAGCGTGATATTGGCTTAAGCTTTTTCAATTAAAATATTCCAGTACAACACGTGGCTTTTAATATCTAACTGTGATGACATGATCGTTTTTTAAAGAATAATGCAAATTTTGAGTACAGAATTTCACAGCATTATTGAATAAAATTATTTTATGTAGAACAGTCATAAGTTTTGATGTTGGTACCTTTTGAAATTTTAGTTTCAATTTTCGAGGACTTCTCTGGAGTTTTAGAGAATCCACATTTCATTTACATCACATTTAGAATATGCTGAAGCACAGCACTTATGAAGTTTATCCATTTACAGCAGTTTTTATTTGTGTGAAGAGTAAGGATAAGGCCTTTGTAGAACACTTGCTGGACCCGGTGATGTATCTTTGTAAGCTTAGAGTTTTTATGAAGTAAAGAAATCCAGTATAAATAGGGTAGCTCGAACTCACCTTAGTGAACTGTAATATTAAAAGTATAAAGAATGCATTGTGACTTTGAAGAAGTACATCCTTAGAATGTGAACGTTAGGTATAAATAAAATTTCTAGATGTAGAATTAAAACCAAGATCTTCTAAAATACAATTACAATAATGAGCTTTCCAAACAAAGTTGATATTGATAAAAGACTTGTCTGCTTGAAGCATAACATATTGTTCATGTAGTCTTTCTGATTCTTTTAGTGAAAACGGACGTATAGATGGTTTGCATACTGCTTTCTAGCCTCCAGACACGATTTTTAAAAATATATTTCCAAAACACTAATTTTTAACAAAGTGTTCAGTCTTTCTCTTTATATTTCGCCCAACGTCTGGCATAATCTTCGACAGAATTCATAATAGAAATGAAGTTCTGCCACCTATTGAAAAAATCATGTTGAGTCAGATATTGGAATCAATGATCAATAAATCTGCCCCCCCCCCTCACCACCACCACCACTCCCCTGCAAAAAAAAAATACATGGAAATAAAATTTATATACCAGTATGACAGAGGTAATAATTATCCTTAATGCATAAAATGAGAAGAAAAATAATTTAACCTCAAATTTCAACGTAGTTCTAAATATGTGTGTAAGATAGTAAAGAATACTTAAGGCAGTTCTACCGGCCGCGTAAGTTTTGCATAGATTGTCAAATCTTACCACGCTTATTGTTACGGTCTTACGTCTCAGATTGCACTTAAGTCCTATTTATGTATGGTCTTAGACCTAAGTAAAAGTACCTGTGCCCTTTCTGTTACGACTCCCTGATTCAGTAATCTTCTCGTTGTCTAAAGAATGGAGTACTTAAAGTGGGACTACTACTAGTTGGATGATATATACATTTTCCAAAATTCTAAGCCTCATTGAAAGGATAGAGTGGCCAGACGAATTGATATGTTTATAAAGATGTTGATGGCAACTATTATTTATTTCAAACCCATCCCACAGAACAGGGCATAAATGTTTATTCGGTATGCGTAGATTCAATTTAAACATTTTTTCATTAAATAGCATGAAACTTGTAAGCCGTCTTGTGTTTAATCCTATATAATTCTCGCAGGATAATCGAAAGAAACTTTGTTCAATTTAATATTCATAAAACAATGTTATTTTTTGCATATGAGATTTCTTTTATTTCATCTAAATATATAGAGAGAGAGAGAGAGAGAGCACAAAGAAATTCACTTTTATAAGGAAATCCACTTCCGCCCCCTTATAAAAGTGAATTTCTTTGCGCTTTCTATATTAATATTTCTTCACTTAGGGCAGTTGTGTTAGTTTAAGAGTTGTTGTAAAATGTGCTTTATATATATATCTCCTTCGGATGAGACCTATAAACCAAGGCCCCGTGTCGCAGTAGGTGCTGGCACGAAAAAGACCCCTCTCTGCTCAATGGCCGTAAGTGCCAAGTATAGGACAAAATTTGCAGCTCTCCACCGGCAAGTTGTGGCGTCTCCATAACAGGAAGTCCAGGAGCTGTAGCACATGTTGCCTTTATTCTTCTGGCCTCGCACAGAAGTCGCACCTTCAGTTGGTTGTGAGAACATTTCCGACCTTTCCAATGGCTACTCAATGCTGATGTGCTACCCACTCCTCGAACCTTAAGATACTGCTCAGCCTGGTCGACAACATTTGCTTGGATAATATAGGACACAGAAATGTTTTCAGCATGCAATAGTTGTGCCTACTAATAATCCCATTGGCGAGGGAAGACGTAATTAACCGCAGCTGTACTCATGAACACTTCAACCTAGTTAATGCTCCACTTCCAGTCAAGTTTTGAAACTGGTCCTGCGCAGAATCTGATTCAGATGGAATCCACAATCCTGGCAATTACAGGTTTCCCTGAAACAGTTAAGGATCTGTCATTTGTCATGCCATTCACCAAAAGCGGTTGTTGACGCTGTCTGAACGATTCCTGCAATGCGCAAGTTCTTCAGTAGGGCGTATATAGTTCATGAAGACGTTTTTTTTTTAACACTGGTGCTTAATAGTGCTTTTGTTAAAAATAGAATAACAATGATAAGGATAATATTGTGGAAGTATTCTGCATTAATTTGTAATTGCTTTAACGTTCTTAATGGATCGGTTAAAACTAAATAAAGATATTGCTAGGCCTGTCCCATATTTCCTCAATCAACACAGAAATGGATTCTATGAAGATATATGTTTGCCAACTGTGACTCATGGCACATAAGATTTTACTTTATATTTGAACTCAGATTTATACTTTCACCTTTCGAAGTCAAGCGCACAAATTTGTTTTCGATCGTTTAAGCTAATTACAATTATGCTTGCAAATGCAAGTAAAAGACAAAGTTGAAGAGATGTATGCGTTTTCTTTACAAATGCTAAAAGTAATGTTGCACAAGATTGTTCCAAAACATTACATTGTTAAAGATATGATTCAAACAGAATAATTTCTTTTCTAATATGGTAGAGCCAAATATATTGGATTGATCGTCAATCTGTAACGGAGGAATACAAATCTTCAGTGACAAGGTACCTGGATATAAACACTAGTTAATAACCACTTGATGCAACGAATAGGAATTTGCTGATAAACCATTTGGATGTTGGAGTCCTTGTCAAGCTCTATGCCAAGATTATTTGAGAGGTTTCATCAAGAAATCTAATCATTGCTCAGAACTTAAAGTAATTATGTTGTAAAAAAGGGTCATTTTCGTATACTGAATATACATGATTATTACGTCAATTTAGGAGAAATGCAGTGCAGTTAAGGCAAAATTTTCTATAAAAAGACACTGAAGACAAAACAACTGAAGTTCAATCGTCTTCTTTTCAGCATGAAATTC